AAATTTCACTATTTGAACTGTATTATAACAATCAGCAACTTGTGAAGCTAGAAGAATTTAGAAACATCTGTAATGCTGTTCAGAATGTTACAAAAAGAGTGGAAGTAAACAATTTAAGGAGAAATTCACAAATATTCACAGTGTTCAAAATTTAATGGAGCTGTCTTGTTAACAAATATTCACAGTGTTCAAAATTTAATGGAGCTGTCTTGTTACCATAGAATGCATTAAACTGCTTGGCTGTAGTCAGATGGGTGATACCCCAGGATGGCATACATGGTGTACTTGATAAAAATTCTGTTTATTTAAAGTATTAGAGTGGCCATTATGTTTGAGTGCAAAGTTTTAATCCTCTTGGTAAACTTCATCTAGAAAGAAGAAAATGCTTTTAAACTGCTTTTAAGTTTTAGTAGGGTACAAGGCACTCTCAGAGTTTTTTTCTTAAGATAGCATCAAATGTAAAATCTAGTTTTGACATAATTACATGTGAACAGAACTAAGTTTAAAGGTTTCTGTAATTCTTTTCCATTATTGCATACTTATGGATAAGGATATGATGACTTTATAACTCCTCAAACTTTCAGCTATTTCAGAATAGATATGTATTCTGAAATATATATATATCTATTCTGAAATATAAATATATATAATAGTCTGTCCAAAATATAACTGGCCAAGTAATATGATAAATAGACATTTATTGAAGAATATACAAGATACAAGAAACATTGTACACAGGACAATGCCTTAGCCCCCTTGAAAGTAGGTACCTTGGGACCACACACAGTTCTCCCGATCACCATTAGTCACCTTGTTGTATTTTCCTGAATCTCGTCAACAGTCTGCAACCTCTTCCCTGCCAGAGCTGATTTTAGTTTTAGGAAAAGCCAGAAGTTGCAGTGTGCAAAATCTGGGCTGTAGGGGGGCTGAGTCACCTGGGTAATTTATGATTCACCAAGAAACTCTGCATGTGTGTGCTCATTCTCATGATGAAGCTGCCAATCACCATTTGCCCAGCCTTCTGAATCATCCAAATGGTTTCCGTGCAGAGGAATGTTCAAGCTTAACACATAATTTGATGCAGATTCATTGCTGTACTCACTCATTTTGAATGTGATGGCTACACAGTACACATGCTCACTCACTGGCGTCTACCACCCCACTGACTAACACAAGTTCATGCATGCACTTTCCAGGCCACTCTCCTTGACTGACAAGTTACATCAATGTCATGCAAAGCTTTCTAGTTTTATTAACTTAACATTGGCTGGACTTTTTCCAGACAGGCCATTATTATGTATACATAGAATTAAAGTCATTGTATGGTTGATGCTTGCATGACATCATAGGTAAGATTTGAAGCCCATCTCAGCCAGTGTCTGTATGACCTTGGACACCTTCTCTAACCTAAGATTCTTTTTCCTAATCTGGATATAGGGTCAGGATTCCCTAATTTATAGAATGGTTGTAGGATTCAGTAAATAATGTACTTAAGTATATAGGAGGAATAAGTTTTTCTTCTGTGATAAACAATTAAATTTTGTTGTCTTCCTCTTATCAAAAATGGATGCTATAAACATATATAAGTACATGGAAATAACCCAATTCAATACTATATTGGACTTATAGGAATCATAGACTCTCTTAGCTGGAAGGAATATTAGAGATTATGTGGCTCAGTGTATCTTAGCATTTGCTTGCTTTATGGACCACTTTTAGAATCTGACCGTTATAATCTATCTCTCATGAAAATTAGCATATATCTTTAAGGGGTTCAAGGACACCCTAAAACCTATTCTTAACCCCCCTGGTTGAGAATCCTTAACTTAATTCAACACCCTCAATCTAACAATGGAGAAACTCAGGAAAGTAAATGTAATGAGTATAATGCTCCTAAGAATTAAAAATTATTTTGAAAAACACTTTTCCAAAGAAGGTTTAAGAACACCGCATGCATCAGTTACTTGAGCAGTGCTCCCAGACTACAGCTGCATTTCACCGGAGGGCTTGCTGCACAGTCTGCCCTTGGCAAGCTGGTGACAGAGGGGCTATCTGTAGTCCAACACAAAGTTAAATGAAATAGTTATAATTTAGGTATTTATTTTGTTTTTAACATTTCTCACCCCAGAATTATACTCCTGCATTCTCGGTAAACATTCCTGAAGTGCTCTTCATGGACCAAAGCCTTTTTAAGGTATTGGCAGTACAAGATGAGACCCCATTTCTGAGCCTTTAAAAGAGAACTCAGAATGAGGAGCAAAGCGTTCAGCCCAGACCTTTGAGAAGGTCCCACACTTAAGATAGCATTAAGCTTGGGTCTTGATTAATGACCAGAAGTTTTCCAGTCAGGAGAGCCACATATCCTAATTCCCTGTACCTACATACTTTACAATAGTTAACTGTATATGGTCATTAGTTTTAGAATTGTATGTGGGATGGCGCCCTGAAGACCCATTTCCAAGTTTCAGCCACCATGCATCACCATTTTCTGGGCCATGTAGCCTCCAAACCTCAGGATCATTCTTTCTCCGGCTGCAATTTCTAGTCACTCACAGGGGCTTGCCAATTCTTTCTTCAAAGCATTCTTGCACTTCCCTCTTCTTTTCTGTTTTCACTGCCGCCTTGCCCCAACTCTCCACAGGACAAGACCTGCCCCTCAGGATCCATGTCACACAACCTCACCGAGAAATCGATTCTGAAGCCCTGCTGAGAAACATTTGCCCCAGGTTAGCTATAGGGTACAGTTATCCAGTCTACTTATTGTCTTATGTAAAGCCTGCCACAGCCTGACCTCAGGCTCAGCACCAGTCATCATTGCCCAGCATGTGTCTACTCCTGCCAGGCAGAGATGATAAAAGCCCACGGATGTTCAGGTCTCACCCTCCCCACTTACTAGTTGTTGCATTCTTATCTCTCCAAGCTTGTTTCCTGAGTTTTATGGATCAAAAAAATAAACAAAAATGTTTTTAAAAATCAGTGATAACATGTGGGAAGTCCCAGGTACCTGACACATTAGTTGTTTCTTAATAAACAGTAACATTGATAACCATCGTCCTCATCACCTTTGTCTGAATGCATCACATCTCTGTCATACAGACATTTGTAGAAACTTCTCTTCTTACCCTGATCACTTCTTACTTCTTTCAGTGCTGCTTCAGGTCCTGCTTACCTTCCCGCTGATATCCCCCTAAATTCAGCTGCTCCCAGCACTGTCAGATCTCTGTATCACCATTACATTTGCTTTATGCTGTTTTCAAACTTTTCTGAAAGGTCTTGTCTTCCTCACCAAACTGTGATAAGTGGAGCTGCTCTGAGTGAAGCACACTGTGGTGCAAAGTCATGAGTTTCCTTGACTTCATCCTTGTTTGAGGATGTTGAAGTATTTGGGAAATGAATGGAAGATAGGATAGCTTATGTCTAAGGATCCTTTCAATAGTGACTTTTGGAGTCTTGCATTGTTCAGCATCAGGGACACATTTTATACTTTCTCCTACTTCCCAAAGCTACAAACTCTCTAGGTGCACTCAAGGATGTGGTGTTCTGCAGCCTCATTTTCCTGGAAAAATCCTAATACTCTTTGACCCCTATCAGTGGCTTTCCTTCCTGCAAGAGAATTTAGTAGGCTATGTATCAGGGTTGGGGGATGGTAGCCCTATATGCATCACACTCTGAATCTAGACTAAGCTTATAGTACATATACAATGAACAAGCACTGACTATAAACAGTATTTGATAGCATCATTTTATGTCCCTTGGGAACAAATACGAGCAAAGGAAAGACTCACCTCCAAATTTAAGGCTGAAATTATAGGGAGAAGTTGAGGGAAAGGATCTATTGCAGAAAGAAAAATGATTCCTTAGGTTCCACAGAAAAAGCTCTATTACTGAAAATTTTACTTCCCCTCCTTACAACCTACATACTGGGGTAAAGACAGGGTCCATGAATCTAAAACAATGTTTATCTTTAATGACCTTTTTGGAAACTCTATTCTACACATTCAGTTTTAAAACAGTTCCATTACACAGGGCACCTCTAATTTCTGCCAGTTAGTTGTATCTCTGAAATCAACTACTTTGCCTTCAGTGGTACTGAATTTCTGGTAGCTGTGTTTAACCTTATTGTGGTCTGGCCTTTGTATACCAGTTTGCATTAATGCTGAAAGAACCCTCAGCTTTAAGAATGCCCCTGTACCTCCTCAGTTGGAAGAGTGGGTGGGGGTGGGATGATGGTGGGCAGAGAAGGAGGGGCGGAAATCAGTTAATTGCAGGCTGTCAGAGTTGTTTTAGGTGACTTTGTACTTCTTGAATTTAAGATCAGCATGGACTATAGACATGTCAGGCTGGGGATTTAAATAGCAACAAAAAGCATGGGTTTTGCTAATGCCAGGAATGACTCAGTCTGGTAAGAATGGTATTGTACTGATAATACAATAGAGGGAGAAAGAAAGTCTGTGGTATCTGCTCTCTTTGTGTTTCTGGCCTTGAGGAGAATTACAACTTGTTTGTTGCAGAAGTTGAGCATCTGATGTGCTGATGCACCTGTTAGTTCTTATATATTATATGGCAAAGCACTTGCAGTTCCCTGTGATTGCTTTGTGGGTGAAATGTTTTCTGCAATTTGGTGAACTGTTTTTCTTTTTTTAAAAAATATTTATTTATTTTTAGAGGGGAAGGAAAGGGGAGAGGGAGAGAAATATCAATGTGTGGTTGCCTCTCTTGCGTCCCCTGCTGGGAACTGGCCTGCAACCCAGGCATGTGCCCTGACTAGGAATTGAACCTCCATCCTTTGGTTTGCAGGCCTGTGCTCAATCCACTGAGCTACACCAGCCAGGACTACTTTTCTTTTTAAAGGATGTATTTATTTATATTTATTGCATCTCTTAGTTCTTAAAAATACGCTTTCTCATTCTGTCTGAACACCCTTGTCTCATCATTACATTTTGGAATAAGTTTGGCTTTTTACTTTAAGGTAACATTATTATAATTTGTTTTTAATACAGAGACCATGAGCCAGGCAACTCCTGCTAGAAAGCTGGAAGAAGTTCTTCATCTAGCAGAGCTCTGCATAGAAGTCTTACAGCAAAATGAAGAGCATCATGCAGAGGTGATGGTTCATTTTAACTGCTTTATATTGCCACACATTACGCTTTGCCATAGTTGGAACATTATTGAAGAAGTCACCTACCCATGGACTAGGAAACACACCAGTCCATATACCTGCAGAAAACTAAAAACCTGGCCTATAAATACAAATCCTGTATTGTACAAAGGAACGGTATATGTGTAATAATTTACACATATCCCTGACAACAGCCCTACTGTATGGAGCATGGGAGAGCCCCTGGGATCTGCTAACAACGCACGACTAGTCAGATGCAAAGCTGGAACCCGAACCCCTTTTCCTTGTAATGCCAGATCACTTGCCCCTCCCCCAGGCCATGATCGCTTGAGTCCAGAAATGTCAGTCAATGTGCAAAAGGAAAACTAGCGATAAACCGATTAGAAGATAATAATACCAAATGGAAGACATTCATAGCTCTAGTCTTTTGCTCTTACCATCAAACCTTTCTTTAGATTTTCACTAAACCTGCATTGTTCATACTTTTTAGGTGAGACTAGATTATATATTATTTTTATATATTATTATAATAATTTTTAATTATATATTATATATTATTTTTAAGTAAAACACGGAGTGGTCATTCACCAGGCAAACTACTTACTCTAAGACTTAAAGGTCTCACTCTTTCTGGTAGTCATGAGTTTATCTTTTTTTAAAGTGTTTCTTGACTTGGTATTGGGTGGGAGAAATATGTGGAATTAAATAAATATGTTAAGGGACTTCCGCCAACATGGAGGCGTAGGTGGAAGCACTGCACCTTCTCACACAACCAAGTTTAAAAACAACAAAGTTTTAGCAACAAAAACGCAGCCAAACCACAGAAAATTGAACTACACGGAAGTCTGACAACAATGAACCCTTCAGCCAAACCGGTAAGAGGGGCAGAGCCAGCAGCAGAGTGGGGTCGGGCAGGAAAGATCCAACGGACTGACCCGGGTGCACAACCCAGGCACACAGGCAGCAGTGGGTGGATCCCAGGTGTGGAGAAGCCTACGAACCCACTGAGGGCACAAGGCGGTGGACTCACTGAGGGTTGACCAAAGTCACACAGTTGAGCACAGATAAACCGGTGAAGGAGCTAGCGGTGAGACAGACCTTGCAGGCCCCAGTGGCAGAAAGTGGCAGAGGGAACCGCCATTGTCCTTCTCTGACCCCACCACCACATACAGCATCACAAACCAGCGACCTGGGTGGCCCCACCCTGGTGAACACCTCCTCCTACATAACAGGCAGGAACAGATCAAAACATGGCTCAAGAACAACTCAGAGCCCCAGAGCCCATAAATCTAAATGATGAAGAAATAGCTAAACTTTCAGATGCACAGTTCAAAACACTGGTGATCAGGATGCTCACAGAACTGGTTGATTATAGTCACAAATTAGAGGAACATATGAAGGTTAAACTAATTGAAATGAAGGGAAATGCACAGGAAACCAATAGTAATGGAAAGGAAACTGGGACTCAAATCAAAGGAGTGGACCAGTAGGAGGCAAAAAATGACCAAACAGAAAAGGATGAAGAAACAAGAATTCAAAAAAAGGAGGAGAGGCTTAGGAACCTCCAGGACATCTTTAAATGCTCCAACATCCGAATTATAGGGGTACCAAGAGGGGAAGAGGAACAGCCATGAGTGGAAACCTTATTTGAACAAATAATAAAAGAGAACTTCCCCAATCTGGCAAAGGAAATAGACTTCCAGGAAATCCAGGAAGCTCAGAGAGTCCCAAAGAAGTTGGACCCAAGAAGGAACACACCAAGGCACATCATAATTACATTAGCCAAGATTAAAATGAGAGAGAATTCTAGAAGCAGCAAGAGATAAGGGGACAGTCACTTACAAAGGAGTTCCCTCAGACTGTCAGCTGATTTCTCAAAAGAGACCTTACAGGCAAGAAGGGGCTGGAAAGAAGTATTCCAAGTCATGAAATCCAAAGACCTACAACCAAGATTGCTCTATCCAGCAAAGCTTTCATTTAGAATGGAAGGCGCATTAGATAAAGTGCTTCTCAGATAAGATCAAATTCAAGGAGTTCATCATCACCAAGCCCTTATTATATGAAATGTTACAGGGACTTACCTAAGAAAAAGAAGATAAAAAAGATGAACAGTAAAAGGACAGCAAACTCACAGTTACTAAGAACCACACCTAAAACAAAAACAAACTAAGAGGACAGCTAGATCAGGAGCAGAACCATAGAAATGAAGATCACATGGTGGGTTAGCAACAGGGGAGTGGGAGGAAGAGAGGGGGGAGAAGGTACAGAGAATAAGTAGCATAGATGGTAGGTAGAAAATAGATAGGGGGGAGGGTAAGAATAGTAGGGGAAATATAGAATCTAAAGAACTTGGGGGAGGGGTGTGCAGGGTGGAGGGGAATGAAGGGGGGAAATAGAACTATAATGACATAATCAATAAAATATATTTTTAAATAAATAAATAAATATGTTAAATTTCAGTGCCCTAATAGCTCTTTTATTCTTGAGGAAGCTCATGAAATAAGCGAGCATTAAAGAAAACCAGATACATAAGAATTTATACAGTATTTATATTTAATGAAGCCTAGTTCTTCAAAATATGAGAAACTACATGAAGTATATTTGAAGCAAATTCTTAGAAAAGAGTACTTGTGAAACATTACTGTAGGTAACTAAGGTTTATTGTATCTGGTTATAAATATGATCATTCAAAACATCTGCTTTTAGCTCACACTGTGGAATTTAGTTTTTACCTTGCATCTGTCATGTGTGAACTTGTTATGGATATTTTATTTTAAACTGAAGAAACAGCTGCTTCAATAATTTGAAATTAATTCCCAGGAGAATCTTTTCTAGGCCAGTACTATTGCTATGGTACAATGAAAATGGTTTTATGATAAAGTATATGCATATGTTTTCTTTGTCTTTTGTTAAAAAGCATTATCAACAGAGTATTAGATCTTCTTTAATTAAAAAAAATTATAATTGGATAGCCAGTTGCAGTGTATTTCACCTAAATAGGCTGATCAAATATTCTCATACATTTCAGAAAAATCACATTTAATTTTTCTGAACTAAAATAATAACAATGTTTTATCTTAAATGTAATTAATAAGTTTTATGTACTCTACACAATCACTAAGTACTTGTTAAAATATAATGTATCCAAACACAATTAAAATATAAATGCTGTTTATTCTCTAATCTGCAAAAATTGAGTTGATTTTATTGAAAAGTGATAATCATAACTTATAATATTACTCTGCTATGTGCTAAAATATAGAACTATTAAATGTTGTCTTTTTCAAATGCTTTGTAACACCATGGCATTTTCTCATTCTACAATGCTTCCAAATTCTTGGAATCCCTCAGGGAAGAGAGGTATGTAACATTGTTTCCACTATTTTTATAGCATGGAATAAATAACTTTTAGTAAGATGAGCTAGACCTCATTTTGATAATAGTTTATTTTAAAGCCAACTTAATTCCTCTCTTTGGAATTAAAGACTGTTTCTTTGAATAGGCTAATCTTTATTGTAGTATTTCTCTGAATATGTCTTATTAATAGATGCATGCATAACTATTACTGGCTATCTAAGTAAAGGCCACACGAGAGGATTTTAATGTTTGGATTTTATTTATTTGGGGGTTATGGTTTAGATTTTTGGTGGGGCTTTTATTTACCAAAAAATCCATCTTTTTATCTGAACAATGTTGGAGAGTGAACCGATCTGATTCCAAAGTCATTGAGAGTGTGAATGGGTGGGCTGCACGCTGCACTAATACTTCCCTTTCTGGATATTCAAGTAGAGGTTCCTTCCTCCATGAAGAAGCACCTTGCTCAGCTCCCTTGGTCTCTCAAAGAGACCTTCAAGTGGCTGGTGTGTCAGCTTTTATTTTCAGTCCCCTGCTTTACACAGTGGCAATTTATTTTATAACAATGTCTCAACCTCTGAGTTTCTACCCTTCAGCAGTTTCTCAGTAAAGTAGGTTTCATGTCCTTCGGACCTTTGACAGTAAGTTACTAATGAGACAGTCCTTGCTTCTCTCTGAAGGCCTCTCCGCCTCTCTTCTCAGGCTTGTCTTCCAAATTTCTCTTTAGAAAGATAGCTTAAGCTCCTTTCTGGATCATCTTTAAGGCTGTTTGCACATTTTGGTGACTAGACTGTCTGGCCAGAAATTTAAGCAAACTGATTTGATAGCTCTCCATCCAAAGGCTACTTACTTTCACAACACTGTGAAGTCCCATGTGCCGGTGGGAAGGCTTTGGGTCCTCACCAGCCCACCCTCTCCACATATACCATCCCACTGATAAGAAAATTGAGGCCCAGAAAGGTGGAGACCCAGAAAAGCTGCGCAGCTTGCCAGAGGAGCACAGCTGGTTAGTGAGTGAGTGGGTGAAGACACAGGCCACACTCCACACCTGAGCACTTTTCCAGTGAACCACACAGTTATTTCTTGGTTTAAATAGAGTGGCCAGAAGGTTGTCCTGTCCAGGGTTGACCCTGGGCATCGTGGCAGGGACGATTATGGTTGGAGCTTGGAGGTGGCCTTTCCCACTTGGTCATTCTCGTCCTCTCCTTGCTCTCTTGCCTGTCCAAGGACTTTGCCTAAGGAGATGGACTGCTTTGGTGCTGAAGGAGGAAACACAAACATACAGCACAACTCAAGTCATTGAGTATTATTCCAGCAGAATAATTGACTTAGTCATTGATTAAGGTCCCTAAAATGTTCTAAGTATGAGATTATCTACCACACCAATGACACTGTAGGCAAGAAGGGTGTTTGGCAGTACTTTGGTATTTGCAGCGAGACAGCCAACAATTCCCTGCAGATCATGATTCATGCTGCACACCAGCTGGCTGTATCGCAGGTGGCTCCAGCTACAGAGGAGGACAGAGAAAGGAGTTCACTGTGGACATGCACATCTGCATATTGCTCACCCCCATGAACAAACCAGATCAGGGTTCTGGATGAATTCTAACTGAAAGAAATTTTTTGCCATT